CAGCATTTCCTCAGTCTTCTTCTCAAGTAGAGTCTCGTTGACTTTTGTAAAATAGCCCGCCTGGAGCGGGTCCAGTGGCGCCGGCCGTCGCAAAAAGTCCCAGAACTCTGTGAGATAAGGGGTGTTGGCCATCAGGGACTCTGTAATCGACCAGGTCTCGCAAGACAAGATCTCACAGGCGACAAAGGCATATTTCAACCGCTTCTTTTCGGCTTTCTCTTGCTCTTCATCCAGAGGCACCGGCTCATCCTCATTATCTATCGCAAGGCCTTTGCCCTTTTCATCCTCTTCATTCTCGTTGGAGTCAATCTTGGGCCCCGGCGCCACAACGTAGCTCAGGAGAGCATGGAGGTTCGTTTCGTCCCGCAGGTATTCTATCAATTTTGTATGGTGTGACTTGAGCTCCTGAATGAGATCGGACTCTTCCAGCAAGTCTTCAAGCTTGACATTGGGCTTATCAAGAAGGGTATCGATAGAAGATATATTGGAGTAGCCTCCAAAGCGCCAGAACATGGTTGCGGCTGCGATTCGGACGCGACCGGAGGAACGCAAGAGGTCTCAGTAATGATACAATATCGGGAGGGTGTGGTCGTCAAGAACCAAGCCGTAGGAAGTCGTAACTCGTGAATTGAATATTGAGTAAGACATAGACAGGCGGTCCAGCGCTGGTATCAATCTCAACAAGTCAGCTCTTTAGAACCACACGGAGAAGGTGATCAACAGAGAACATGGCGGGATTCAAAGTCGCCGGTGGCTCGGATTTTGCAATGGCGGCATGTTTACCTGTTGTTACAAAGGAGTGACTGGAAAAGAAGTCGGGACAACCGTCAAAGACGTGAGTCCAAGGACCGTTTTCGCCAGAAAGAGTTTGTTTTCGAGATGGAGGAGATACACGGGCGCGAGAGATAGAGGTACCGTGCACGGTGGTTTGTATGTTGTGGATGATTCCGGTGACTGGTTGGAGATTTGGCGGGCAACAAAAACGAGGCGAAAGGCCAAAGACCAAAGACGACAGAGAGATGCCCGCGCGAACTTGGCAACGCAATCACAAATCTCGGGTTTACATGCAATGCAGCACCTGACGTCTGGGAGCTAGGAGCGATGGTATTATGGCTGGTGCCTTGAAGAGATTGTGACACAAGCACTGAGAATAGTGACAAGAGCTGTGCTACAGTACAAGCAGCACACGGGGCGCAAACAGAGGCAAATGAAAGGGAAAAAAACGGAAGTACGAGGTACTGAGTGCTGAGTGCTGAGTGACTTGGGCACGAGAACAAGGATCTCGCTCCATCCTGGAGTGAGTAGCTGCTCCCGTTTAGCCAACGCCGTGTGGCCCTTTTGCCGGCGCCTCCACAAACAAAGCGCCCCCCTTTTTCCCTCTCACTGCGCCCAACCATGTACCCTACTCGTGCTATCCGGCTCGCCTGGTAGTTATTATTGCCCGCCACGAAATGCCCATGCCACATGGCTCCCTAGAGGAGTCCCGAAATGCAAGCCGCCGGACAGCCGGCCCCCAGACTTCTTAACTGTTTCCAGTGAAGCCCACACCTCCAACCGGTCCAAACACCGACAAAAGTGATATGAGAAATGCCGTGTCGCATGGGAAAGCGTGACACCAGACGCAGATGAGATGGCTCCGAGTGGCAGAGGGAAAAGGGGCCCCCAAGGGCACGTGCGACCTTGCCAGGATCATCTGCCCAAAGCGTTGGGCAGCGGGAACACGAGGATATTAAATCAATTTGCGCATCTGTAGATCTGTAGGTCAATACCTGCATCTCATGCGGGACGATCCTTACCCCTGGCCTCTCTCTGCATTCCCGCAGCAACTGCCACGTTGCTATACAGCCCTGTTTTATCACAGCAGCTTGCCGTGGGGGATTGTATTGGCATCGTTGAGCATCCAGATCGGGAACTGAGAATTCCCAAACGGCATTCACGGAATTTGTATAGGAATGCGCATCGTAAAATAGATGCTTCCGATAGCGTCCTCGGGGGCCAGAATACGTACCCAGTAGTTGCGAGGTGTGTGATGAAATGAGAGGGAGTGAGTGAGCTTGGTGAGCTTGCAGTGGATGCCGCCGGATAAATGTCGGAGCGAAATGACGCACCGCAAAGCCCTGCGGCGAGACAGGCAGCCTAAGGGCCGTCTGGCTTGTTGCTTCATCTGCTCCGTACATACGACAACTTCGCGCACAGACGACAACATCTTCCCCGCGGCTCCTCTAATGAGCGCACGTATCCTATATCCTATAATCCCATACCTCAAAGATGAATCGCCTCTTCGGGTCGAAGAACACGGCCCCAAAGCCCAGCTTGAACAGCGCCATACAGAATGTAAGTTCCCCCCCCCCCCCTCCGGGCGACTTGGGAAGTGCCTGACACTGTCGCAGGTAGATACGAGAATCGACTCCATCGATGTCAAGCTCGCCAAAATCAATGCCGAGCTCTCCACGTACCAACAGAAACTCTCCAAAATGCGCGACGGCCCCGGGAAACAGGCAATAAAACAGAAAGCGCTCAAGGTCCTCCAGCGGCGTAAAATGTACGAATCTCAGCGGGACCAGCTCCAGCAGCAGTCGTGGAACATGGAACAGGCCGGGGTGATGCAGGACAACTTGAAGAACGTCATGACCACCGTGGATGCAATGAAGACGACGAACAAGGCGCTGAAACAACAGTATGGCAAGATCAACATTGACAAGATTGAACAGATGCAGGATGAAATGGCAGATCTGATGGAGATTGGCAACGAGATCAACGAAAGCATAAGCCGCGCTTACGACGTGCCTGACGAGGTTGACGAGGCCGAGTTGGATGCCGAGCTCGAGGCGCTGGGCGAGGATATGATGTTTGAGCAGGAGATGGGCATTGGCGAGAGCACACCGGGTTTCTTGCAGGATGAAGTCGCTCCGCCCCAGTTCGTGGATGAGCCTCCGGAGCATACAAAGGTCAAAGAAGCCGCGGGCGGTGTTGGTTAGGAGTGTCTGCTTGGGATGCGAGCTACTGCTTTTCTCCTTATTACTGTCTTGTCGATCCTGCAAACTCCATCATGTCGCGTACAAGCGTGTCATTTTCCATCATCCATCACTCACGGTGTCAAGTATTCTTCTTCAAATCCTGTGTCCAAGCTCTCACAGCTTTTGGACCCTCGTGCGCTGCCTTGAATAATTGTCGCTCGCTCTCGTCCAGCCCTCGCAGAAATTCTGCTCCCTCACCCAACGCGCCGCGGGGATTGTGCGCCTGATCTGCGATTTCTGCTGCTCGTTCTTTGAATGTCTATCCCCGCCCCACACACCTCTCGCATCAATATCGGATTTCCGAGACAGGAAAAAAGGAGAATCACTCACATCTAACAAAGTGTCCAACACGGCGCGATCGTCGAACAACTCCATGATTCGTGCTCCGAGGGCGTAGAAGTGCGGTGCTTGGGCGCGCAGATCGACGGTTTTGGGATCTGCCTTCAGCGCGTGGATGACGCGCTGTTGAAGCGGCGCCGGGAAATCCAACGTGACGAGCCGCGGAGAACCGGGTGTGTGTCTGATCGAAGACGAGAACAAAGAAGATCAAAATCGGCACTTTCTCTTCTCAAGCGCGTTGCGCGCCCTGTAGAAGGAAGCATAGAAACTTACCCTGTAGACACCGCCAGCATGACACCCAGCCACATGGGCAGATCAACCTTCGTACCCGCCTTTACCTGCGCGTCTGGACATCAGCGCACGCGTGCTCGTTTCCTCCAGACGCGACTAAAGATACAGGGCCATCAACTGACCGTGCCACCGGCATTGCCCTCTATGTATCCGAGCCCAGGCACGTCCAGTTCGAACGTGCAGGGCAGTTTTTGCGAGTCGGTCAAGATGGCGTCGACATCGTAGTAAGAAGACATCCTTGCTCTGGGTCAGCCGCCGACCCTACCGGATTGTCAGGTACTGCGAGGGGCTCATGGGTGAGGTCCAGGGATCAATGAGCATGGGGTGAGGAGAGAGTTTACACAGGACGGTAGGAGACAAGACGTATGGTGCTGGTGTATACTTATGCATATACGTCCTGGGCCCGCTGGGTAAGGTACATATTACATGCAGTAGAGGCCGAGTTTGCCAAGCTGACCAGAATGCCAGGCCCGACGAACTACCGAAACGGGAAAACGGGAAATTTGTCGGCTGCCTCCCTATTGTTCATTCTCTCATCACGTATCCAACATCTCTCATGATGTCCGTCGAACTTGTCATTCACCACGCCTTAAATGCAGCCACCCGTGGTGTTCTCTGCCATTGGCCCAACACAAAAAACCGCTCCTATCTATTGGATACACCGTGTGGCCCTTTTCGAAAATCTTGCCGCGCATTTTGAGCCGTCAATGAATTTGGATATGAGTGCTGTACTCTCTGTTCGCCGCCTTGAAACATGTTCCATCCATCAAGTTTAGAAAGAAAGACTCCCCCACCAGCCGAAAAGCCCCGGGCCTTTGATTACTCGGCCTCAAGATAAAGGGGACTTTGCTGCCATTCAGGAGAGAAATGCGGTCCCCTTGCCTCACGATATTTGGTGCCACTCCCCCAAGGCCCGTATTTGTCACAACAAATCTCCACCCTTGCACCGGGCCCCTGAGGAGCGATAGGTAGGCTTTGCATTTTTCAACAAGCCCAACGAGTCCGTCGTCCGCGGCTGATTCAGGCTCCAAGATGTTGGGATCTGCCTCGAGGTAGGAGGCAATAGCCTTCTGCACCAAACCCTGCTTCTTGGAACCCTGGTATTTGTCCTTCTTCAAGATTTTTCGCAGTGCCTTTGACGATGCAATCACATCGGGGTCTCCAGGCTCGACATATGCAATCGGAGCTTGCCATTTCACACGTTTGCGGTCGCTTTCACTCTGTTGAGACAAAATACTTGTCGACCATTTTGTCGACTTCTTGAGTGTACATTTTCAAATTTTTGAAGGAATCGCCGCCGTCCAGCAAATTGGAATTTTTGTTCACCTCCACGATATGGCTCAAGAGCACTCCTTAGACGCAAATTTCGTGGAAATCTTGCTCCTTGGTGACAAAAAACTCTCCCTCGGAGTCTCCGGACGCATTGTAAACACCGCCCCGGTCGAAGGAGTCTGAAAGGCTAATATGTCGTGGCACGGTCCAGTCAAGTATCCAGGAGGGGAATCGATCAGACTGGGGGTTGAGACCAGCCCGGGTGAGGAGCTCTATACCGTGTCCATCGCGCACGAAAGCCTCGGCAAGCCGACTAACAATAACTTCGAAGTCGCTCTGATAGTCTGGCTCGAACTCATCTCTGTCGCCGTCAGCCGCAAGGCCAAGCAAAGCAAAGAACCGATCTCGCATTCGTCCTGATGCGACATGCCTGAGTGTCTCTAGCATTCGAATCAATGACCAGCGAGTGTGCCGCGCTTCCCATTCGCGATGCCTAGCCAGGGTTAGGAACGGTTGCCAAGCGGTCCGGTCAACTTTTGGGATGGATTTTATGTCTTGCTCGACATGCTCAATGGCGAGGAAAAGTTCGTCCCAGTCGATGATCCATTTGCCACACACCACTTTTACTACCGGCGCTGCAATTGCTTCCTGCACCACCCAGGTTCGTCGAAACCATGGACGTTGAAAGGAGGCCACAATTTGCTGCAAAAGAGGGTCTTCCGCTTGGGGAATATTCATCTCGCTCCACAAGGACGCACACGCCGGCAAGCCCTTTGGCCAGTGCTTCTCGCAAGTGCCATAAATTCCTTTTGCACTGATTTGCATCAAAGTTTCAATAGCACAACTGCTCTCCTGGTCTGCCCCTAGGAAAGCCAAGGTGCAACTGGCTTCCTGGAAAATGCGACCAAGACGAATTTGGCTGGGTTTCTCGGTAATCTCGTCCAGCTGGTTGATACAGATGACATCTACTCAGAGGACGATCGAATTCTCCCTCCGCCGTAGCCTGCGGAGCGCCGCATCGAGTGAGGTTTGGATGAGTAAGTCTCCATCTGGCATCGAAATCCTATGCGTGCTCTGGTTCTCCTCGCCCCAGGTGTAGGATAGCGTCTTATAGATTCCTGCATGTTCGAACGCTACGGTACAGATCATACCGCGAAGAGGGTCAGTTGGCTCTCCGGGGAAAACCGTTAGCAAGCGGATTTCACCCTCCCTCAGAGGCTGGTAGTTATGCGTCGACTTGACATCTTTGGCGAAGAAAGTGCCACCCGTTTCCGGGTTCTCCATGGGCATAAATCAGGCAGAATTTGTGCTCGCATTGTGGAAACACTGTTGATTGCTTTCTATCGCTCTGTGCCCCACTGCAGCTGTCCTAGAACCAGCAATCCTAGACATTGAGGACTCCTTTAGGTCCTGGCGAGGTACCATGGTCTCTATTTGGCAGGCCCTGCCAGGTCGAAGTTTCAGGATCCCAGATGCGAAAAGCTCCCAAGGCTGGAAATGATATTCGAAATAAGGATGTGTATAGATGTCGCCAATCCGAATGAGAATCAACATGAGGCCATTTGACTCGTTAAGCCTTTCATTGAACCAGAAAGTGTGTATCTGCCGTGAAGTTTAGCCCAGGTTCCACATGGTCGCAGCAAAGGTACCGCAACATCAAGATTAGAGAGTCTGATGTGTGAAGCGGATAGAGAATTCAGGAGACGCATCACACTCACACTTTCCATTTGTGTTGTACTCCAAGGTATGGAGGTATCCCAGCCAGAGCCAGAACCAGAGTGTGCAATTTCAGAAAGGAAGACTCTGGACCGCTTTATCCGCTGGATGAGGTTTGCAGGAACTCTCGGGAGGAGGAAATTCCTTGCGGGCGTCTCCCATGCTATCACCCACCAGCATGAAGGGGAAACTTGGGACCCAAGAATGATCCTCCCTCTCTCCAAAACCTGGAAGTCCAGCCCGTGTCCTCAGGGGACTGACCCAGTGGATGTTCAGGTCGTAGAAGCGTCCCAACTCATTTTCAAAGGCTTGAGATAGCTGAAAGGCTGTGTCAGCAGAGAAGCCCATTCAGGTATGATACTACCTACCAAACGCTCTCCTAGATATTGGCGCTCTCGGTCCGGGTCGGGGCACTAGCTCCAGTACCATCTCGTTTTGCCGTCAGTAAGATCATCGGAGAAGTCGATCTCGCCGTCGATAATATTCATCATCTTCAATCGCCTATCGGCAAATTTCCCATGTCTGTGGTTTCCGGCTCTTTTCTTCAATTCTCTACGTCCAAGTCGCAGCGTAAACCCGTCAGATGGACCTGCTGAGGTCCGGGGTTTGGACATACTTCGTGGCCTTGAATGCGCCTAACTCAGAAATACTTATAAGCAACTAGTTCCAAGTCAGCAGGTGCGACGATGGAACCCGTGACGACAAAATATATTCTAGTAGGTCGAGAGATAGAGCACAATATTGATCCAGAAAACTTGAATTTTGGTGTTCCATTGGCGAACATCGCAAACATTCTGCAAATGGTATTGATTAAGGCACTGGAGAGGCACTAGAACCATGAGATATCCTACCGAGAATTTAGGTTGATGGTGTCCAAGGGAATTTGATCTAAGACAATTTTTTTAGATATATATTGGGTCTGAACGGTAAGAGGTTTGGGGAGCAGGGACAACTGACGTAGGATAAAACGACAGCGGAGGCGGTATTGAAGACCAGAATCTGCGACAATTCAGCAAAGCTATAACCATTAGTGATCGTGTATCCAAATACCCATATATGAGCAAGGTTAGGTTGAAGTGGAGCGTCGATGCAATAGCGGTTGAAGATTTGATTAATGACACCAGCGACTGATGTAATCACTGGGACAAAACAGTATTGAAACACTCCAAAGAAGATGATCTGTCAAAGTGGAAAACGACCCTAGAATCCTCGTGGCTCTCTTACATTAAACCATGTCAGACCGCTCCGCGGGTTGCGCAAAAGTCCCTCGGTAGCGCCGCCTGTACACTTTTGTGGCCAATAGCCAAGATATAGGCCACCCCAATTTTTTTGGTGTAGTAGTCCTGAAGTAAATCTTTTTTTGACGGAGATCCGGGCTATTTACGAGCTCAACAAGTTGAAGAAAGACGCAAGGCCAAAAGCGGCGTAAGTGTTGCCGATGAAGAGGAAGTAGACACTGTGCCTATAGTAGATGGTAGCAAGGAGATTGCTACCGCTATAGACGGGTATCATGAAGAGTATTCTCGTGACACTGACCGTGCCACTAGCCTCTGGGTCAAGATGCAGACAGAGGACTCACTGTTTCTGCCGCGAGGCTGCAAGTAATGGGTGGCACGCAACAAGACCTTCGACAGGGAAAGCACACCCGAGAATATACTGGAGCCCAGCGCAACCCAAATAAGTATATGATGTACTGTCCAGCCGTTTCCCAGCGGAACCTTCGTCACTGAAACTGATTAGCAGAGCTCAAGAGCAGAGAGCTGAAATCGACGCTACCGATCTCGTCAGATTTTGTTGACTTGCATTTCGGAAGCTGCAATGTCACATATCATGTGAGATGGTCAAGTCAATGGCGCAGGTAGAGACGCTGGAAATGCCCAGCCAAAGTTGGGCTCTAAGGCGGGCTATATTTTGCCCCATTGCTCAATCAACCCTCGACCCAGCCCGGTGGTGCTGCGCGCCCACCCCACATGGTGATAGCTGCATTTCAAGAATGTAATGCCCAATTGGTCAAAAGAGGTCGCCAACTGCTTAGATCAAGCGATCGAGAGGTCGAGACTCGAAGAAAGTTGCGCGGCTGAGACTTGCAGGCGCATAAAGCTTCTTCGGGACGCCATGTCGCTCGGGCTGAACTCGATGTGCGGTTAAAGAGAGGAAGCAAAAGCTTCAATCTCAAGCAACTTCGGGGCATAGGCCAAAGCCTCGCCGAATCAGTTGTACTAACGTATAGGTTAAGCCTTTTTGTTCGTCTTGAAGTAGAGAGAGACAATCTTTCCGGTCCCGTCGCGACACAGCCTTGTCCCGTGTACCTGGCGTTGCTGATTTTACGCCTAGAGGCCATGTCGAGCATCTAGGAGGTGGTTCATCATTTTGGGGCGATCATTGGTAAATAAAATTCCAAAGATATTGATTGTTGTGACTGCGGACATGGTCTCTAGTGAAAGGTGGGAGAACGAGTGACAGGTGGAGGTAAAGAGGAGCCTAAAAGCGGCAGGCCCAACATGCTCTAGGGACTGCGCACGTGAGCCGCCAGTCAGTCACGTCAGTAGCGCTGGCCTCAGATTTGCGAGGGACGCGAAAGGACGCGTTCCCGAAAAGATTCTCAAGCCCTTCAGACCTGCCAAGCTGCCCTTCTTCTCCTTTTCCTTCCCTCACGTCTAAGAATAATGAGATGAGCGCCCAAGCGAACCCTCCACCGTCTGCATCCCAATCAACCTCAGCGGGATCGACACGTCCGCCTGTGACGCTTGGGCAGACCACCCATCTCGACCCAGGCGCCTACGTCCGCGGCACCCACGCCATCGTAGTCGGTGAACATGACTTGGTGCACCCCAGGGCTCAGCTGATTGCTGTCCACGGACCGCTGTCTATCGGCGACAAGTGTATTATCTCTGAGAAGTGTATTATCGGTGGCCCTGTTTGGAGCTCTGGCGGTTCCGCTCCTGATCCGACTTCCAAAGCCTCTGGTGCCCCTGGAAGCGGGAGTAACCAGCCTAGCCCGTTGATTAATCAGCCTGGTGCTGAGGATGGCGATGAGGTGGAGCGCGACCCAGTGAAAACTGTTATCCACAATGGCGTTTACATCCATCCAAGCTCACAGGTCCATGCTGGAGCAACGATAGGTGAAGGCGTACTAATTGAATCTCACGTGACAATCATTGGAAACGTCATCATCGGATCGCATTCAAAGATCTGTGCTGGGGTTACTGTGGATAGAGATGTGCCGGATTGGACGGTTGTATATGGAAATGGTGATATAAAGCGGCGGAGGAAGAAAAGGCCTGCAGAAGAAGATCAGACAGAGCTGGTGGAGATGCTGAGACTCAAGGCGATGGACAAAGAACGCGAGGGAACAGTCACTCTTTTGAGGGCCGCGGCTCGGATGGCGAGTTTGGCCAAGAAGAAGTGAGCAACTCATACGGACGGATTTCAAAGTCTGGCTTGAAGAACCCTCGTGCCTAAACCATGGAACCTTGGTTGTGATGCCACACAGTCGCCGAAGAAGCAGAGAAGACGACGTGACCCGACTGAGAAAGGAGCCGATCAGAACCGCTCTGCGAAAGAATAATACCACCCTCCCAGAAGGGCCATCCAATAACTTCACCTTCAAAACATCAATGCAGCTGTCCTTGGCCCAGACTAGCAGAAGTCAGAAGCTCGCAACAGCTTCTTCGGCGGCAACACAGGAGATTACACCTGCTATTACATTTGTGGTCATACTCGGTTGACACTGCGTGCGCGGAGCCAGAATCAAACGCAGCTGAGGAACGACATTGAGTTATTATCGTGAGATGATACTCGGCGGACTAATATTCCCATACTTTTCGCCTCTCTCACCTCTCCGATCGACAAAATTCATGCGATGCTCATCCAGACATGTCAGTGGATATTGATCGCAGTATTGAGCTCTTGATCACCCGCCTCCCAATAAATACCAATAAATTATACCGATGAATGAAGGGCAACCTGTTTCATGTTAAGAGGCCCCGAAGACAGCACTTGGCTCCAAAGAAAGTCCCGTTCCCACCGGAAGCGGTGTCAAGAACTGAAGTTTGTCGCAGGGTCCCCGCAGTGCACAACAGAAACGTCCTCTGGTAATTCTTTTACCATATCCCCAGAGAGTCCAAATGAATCCGAGAACGTGTTACAGCCATCAGTTGAAGTCTGGTATCAGGAGTCAGCTATCGAAGACTTCAACCTCGGACCTCGAAAAAACTGTTTTCGCACGCGAAGAGTCAACTCAACGGTGCACGGTCAAAAGCGAGAAAAGCGTTGATGTGGAGGCTGGTTGTGTGACAGACCAATGCGAGAGAATTGTCAATTTTGTGGATGCTTCCTTCCCAGCCACCTCACTTTTCCCCCTCTCCTCGACGACCCGTTGAAGCGCCGCATGTCTCGTATCGAGGAAACGTTCTACTGTATCATTTCGTGCACAATTGCTCTAGGTTTATCTAAACACTGCCCTCTCCTCGGCTTGCTCTTCCCGAAGATGGTAACGATCCTGCATTCTAGTAACATCGTCTCTCCATTGCCGAGAGAATGGACGATGTGGTGGACTGCACTATTAT